TCAGGGGAGGGGTCGCCACAAGATCCAAGACACCCAAGAGCTCTGCTGAGCATGAGATCTGTAAGGCCTGAGGGGTACAGGCTGTCCTATGACTTCTTTCCCAAGGAAAAAAGTGGCAACAGTAGCAGTTTTTGTTGCCAGATGAGGCCAAGTGTTTTTCCATGGCATCTGCTGATGATGCTGGGACTTCTGTCATCAGAGAGGGTACTCTTTTACCACCAGTTAAGCTTTTAATAAAGGGGGAAGGGGACTTAGTAGTATGTGAAAACTCATTTGATCGGTGCATTCATCTTAATGGCTTATGGTGGGAAACAAGGGTGCCCTACAAAAGAGTAGAGCACTGATCCATGCAAATAAATCAGTGATCCCTGAAAACATGAGGCTAAGTGAAAGGAGCCAGACATCCAAAGTAACATAATACCTTGTGATTCCATGGAGAGGAAAAGGCCAGCCAGAATAGTCCAATCTTAGTGCAAGCAGATCAGTGGGTGGGGGAAGAGAAGTAGAGAGAGAGCCAGGGTGAGGTGGGGGACTGACCGGGAAAGGGGGGAGGGGTGTTTCTTTCTTTTTGACGTGATGGAAATATTTTGGAATGAGTGGTGAGGGTTGCATAACTTTGCGAGTAGACTGAAATTGAATTGTATACTTTTACATTTATTTATTTATTTAGTTAGTTAGTTTATTTTGAGAAAGAGAGAGAAGGGAAGGAGCAGAGAGAGAGAAAGAGAGAGAGGATCACAAGCAGGCCCCACACTGTTAGCACAGAGCCCAACATGGGGCTCAAACTCAAGAACACTGAGATCATGACCTGAGCTGAAACCAAGAGTTGGACACTTCAGCGAACTGAGCAACCCAGGTGCCCCCAAACTGTACACTTTGAAAAGGATGGCAATTTTGGCATTTTAATTGTATCTCCACCTTAAATATGTGTGACCAAAAAATATAGTAGATGAAGGTAGGTAGGTAGGCAAGCAGGCAGGGAGTTGACCTATTTTCCTTCCTCCATCCCTCTCTTCTTCTCTTCCTTCCTCCCTCCCTTCCTTCCTCTCTCCATCCCTCCTTCCTTCCCTTCCCTTCCCTTCCCTTCCCTTCCCTTCCCTTCCCTTCCCACTTTAAAGGGAAAGGAAGGGAGGGGAAGAGGGAGAGAGAGGGAGTTCATGACACTGGGCATGGGTATTATTCTGAGTGCTTTTAGTGGATCCCCAAACTAATAACCTCTGTGGAGATAAAGATTACCCCACATGAGAACAGGACTTACTTATTGACAGCAAGAAAGTGGGTGGCTACCACCACCTGAGTCTGACAGAGCCTCAAGTCAAAGGCAGGCAGAAGAGTGGGAAAGCTCCATGGTGGCAAAAGGGGAAGATACAAGGAGTGATTGTTGGGGTGGGGGAGGAGAACTGGAGCTGACTAGAAGAGGGCTGTCCTACCTAATCGGTGAGGGAGGAGCATAGCTGCCTTCCCCTCTTGGTCCCAAGTTAGGCACAAGGAATGACGGAAGCTGTCCTTCCAGTCCTAACCCTTTCTGTTTGGGCCCCTTGACTGCAGAGATTGTGTTTTGAATTGTCCTTCTTTTGTCCTCTTTTCACCACCTTTCTCAAAAATAGAAACATGATTTCAGTCTGTGGGTCCACCCATCTAGTTCTCTGTATCTAGCTAGATGAAGAACAATAGCGACGAGTTTACATGTTTCCATTTGTATCCCCGTGTTAACATTCTCAAAGTTATGTGACCTACAGTTTTAGGTTTGTTGAATTTGTTTAAGGTGCTTAGAGAATAACACAGGTTAATATTTCCAAATGATCCTAAAAGATCATTCTCTCTCTCTCTCTCTCTCTCTCTCTCTCTCTCTCACACACACACACGAAAAAAATACTTGTAACTACAGCTATTCCTACATCCATCCACTTCTGAACTGCCTCCTCAAACTCATTCTCACCACCCCACTCCCATCCATGCAGGCCAACTCCCAACCCCTCCTTGTCCCCTCCCTGCCCCAGCTTCCCTGACTTAGTCCTGCTCCTGCCCTGCCCCATCCTGTCTCCAGGGTCCCTCTCAGCCATCTCCCATGCCCCACTCCTACTGTCACCTCCCTCTGATTCCCAACTCTCCCTAACAATGGCTTGATCCAGCCTACCCGCCACTGGGTCAACCTCGTTGGGTGTTATAAAGTCGACCACCGGGCAAGGGGCATTCGATCAAGCCGCTCTATGGTGGTTGTGTAAGGGTTTCGGTGTGTGACAAATACGGGATCGCAGTGCGGCTTGTCTTTCCATCGTACCTCCTCATCCACATGGTCAGTAGCGTTTCCATGCTCGGGGCGGTGGAAGGCGCACAGTCAGCCAAAGGCCTTGGGGATCTTTCTCCTACCCTCCCTGGAACAGGGACATCTGCAAGGCTAGGGGACTGGCTCCTCCTGCACGTGCCTTCAGACCCAGGCTGCACCCATTCCGGGCCCAGGCAGGGCCGACTTTGACATTTCATTGGAGGCACCCTGACACCACCAACCCCAAAGGCCCAGGACACGGGATGGTGGGAGCGGTTCCTGGTCAGATTTGGAAGTGTCCACCGACGCAGACCCCGATCTTCCTGCGTCCTCTTCATTCAACTAGACACTGTTTGGGGATGGTCAGTGTTTTGCCACCATGCCACTTCCACCGCCACTGCTACAACAAAGAAGCATGAGTCAAGAATAGTAATAAAAACAACCATAATGATAAAATTGGAATTGTTCACATCTTTGTTTTTTCTATAGGCACGTTCGTTTTGGATGTTGTAGGATTTGTACAGAAATCAAAGCAACCCACAAGGCCATGTTCTGTGACCCAGACAAACACGACTGAGGGCAAGACGATGCATGGCAAAAAGCAATAGTCAGTTGGGCAAGGGATGGCTGGGGTCGGCTTGGGGACCAAGTCCTCCATCCTCAGAGGCTCGGACAGGGCTGCTGCATGACGAGGGGACCAAAACAGACTGGGACAGAAGGGGTAGGGGGTGGCTCGGTCTATGGAAGCAATGACAGGACTCGAGGAGGGAGAAGACCACGGGAACAAGGGACAGATGTGAGTTCGGGGGGGGGGGTGTCACACCAGGGCACAGGTCACAGCTCAACATCAGACCCCAGGACTTGGGCAGCCGACCATGCCGAGGTCCAGCCTGCAGGTCGACCTCAGGCTCTCCGGGACTTAAGCGGTCAGTCGCACTGGGGTCCTGGGCAGCTGGTCGTCCACAGATTCCCAGGACTTTGGGCAGCTGGTCGCCTCAGGCCCCGGGAAACCCCATTCGCTCCTCAGCCAAGCACATACATCAAATGTCTGAACCTCCAGTTTCTCTGGTACTGAACAGGATTACCCTGGCAACAACACATCATCAGTAGGGTAAAACTAACCTGTCTCACCAGGATCTAAACCTAGCTCACATTCCCTATTAGTGGGTAAACAATCCAAGGCTTGGTGAATTCTGCTTCAAGGTGACAGGGAGAGCCTAAATCAAAGGATCAAAAAGCGAGTTGCTATAAACACTTGGCTGCCACAAGCCAGTTATCCCTGTGGTAACTTTTCCAACACCTCCTGCTTAAAACCCAAAGGGTCAGAAGGATCATGAGGCTGTGCTTTCATGGTCTTTATGCGTGAAAATCAAGATCAAGTGAGCTTTTGCCCTTCTGCTCCATGGGAGGTTTCTGTCCTCCCTGAATTCCCCTTAGGACACCTGCATTACTGTTTGACAGGTGTACCACCCCAAACTCCCCACCTCATACTGTGCCCAGAGGCTGTCTTACCCAGCCATTGTGGCCAGGTGTTTGGCACCAGAAGTGAGAGCCCCTTGGGGATCCCCCCCCCCACGCCTCACCTGGTCAGTGAAAAAAATGATAAAAGTAGTGGTATTTCACCAGCATCCCGCAAAGCTGGTAGATCCTGCCTCCCTCAAGGGGATAGGGGAATGCTGAGGGCCTCCTACTTATTCTACACCTCTCATGTCTCTTCACACAGACAGACTAGAGTCAAGCTCAACAGGGTCTTCTTCTCCACTGATTCCACCAAGCTGGTTCCCTTGGCTGTGGTTTTACTGGAAAGTGGGTAGGGACAGTAGGAATCTTGTTCATCCATTCATGTACATCACTAATTAAATGAGGAGGCATCTGGCTACCTTAAGGGAGTCCTAGTTACTCCCTTCCTTTACCCACGCTTCATTGAATTTCTTCACTTTGATGTTCAAAGCATTGGGCAGAAATCACATTGCCTTAATACCCACCAAGGGCCTTCTTGATGCTTTCTTTTAATTAAACAGTTGGATTTCCCTGGTATCCACCAGTTCTAAGTCTGCTACTAGGCCAGAGGTTCAATGAGGCAGCCACACAGAACCGAGGCACAGGGGTAACAGGCAGGGTGGGCAGGCTCTGAACCCCAGGAAGAGGGGGGAGTCAGTCCCCGCCCATGCCGGGCTTCCCAGGTGAGGCAGTGACACTCCCTGCAGGTGGGGCGCTGGCCCCCTAGGGGCCCAGATCCGTGGGCCCACTGGCACCGAGGGGATCCCCACCCTCACCTCCACACTCCACCCCAGGAAGGGAGGGGGGAGAGAAATCAGGGGCAGTTGTGGGCGTGGGGTGGAGAAGGGTCCTGGGGGGGGTGCCCCTGATGTGTGTGTGGGTGACATTGTCTTGTCTAGCCATGCGCCTGACCAGCCCTGCTTCACACCCCAGCCCAAAAAACCCAGCCCTTATTCCAAAGTTAAGGATCCAACTTGTCAACTTCCCTTACCTACATTGTTCCAGTATGACAGAGGTTGTTCACCTTTGAGACCTGCTGCAGATATGCGTGCAGCCTGGCTTGAGATTTTACACCCTCTCCCCCAGATTTTCAAGGGCCAGTGATAGCTCACCCATGCCAGCCAGAACCGTGATGCTTTCCAAGGTCCGGGTCCTTCTCTCCAGGGTAACCCATTCCAGAGCACCCTGCACTTACAAAGAAAAGAGAGCTCTCCCCAGGGCTCCTGCTGGCTTCTCCTGGATGGGTTGTATTACTGCACTGGTCACCTCATGATGCCCATCTCCACCACTCTGGATTGGGGGAATCTGAACTGGACTCCGACTCCCTTTCCACTGGCTGAGGGCAAGGGATGCCATCAGCCGTCGCTTCAGAATGGCATTGCACATCTCTCAGGACCGATTGACCTATGTTCAAACTGCTGTTCACATGGAATCCTTCTCCACTTCAGCTTTCAACGTTCTCCTTTGAATATTTGCTACTATCACCAAGATCTGTACTTGTGGTGGCTCCACCTGGGGCTCCACTGGAGCTCCCTAGGCTTCAAGGCTCACCACAGCAGCCTTCCTACTTGTTGTAGCATAGCGTCCTTGGGGTGGGGGGTGGGGGGTGGGGGAAGCATTGGCCCCCCAAAAAGGGAAACCACCACACACACACCCACTGCTCCCATCCCTCTCACTCGCATTACTGACTGCCAGCAATGGCCAGGTATGGGCCCGAGCTCCAGCGCCATTCATTTTCAAGGTTAGTTGATTGGCAGGTGAGTTGTTACACACTCCTTAGAGAATTCAGACTTCCATGGCCACTGTCCTGCTGTCTATATCAACCAACCCCTTTTCTCGGGTCTGATGCACTTCGGCACCAGTGCCTTAACCCTGAGTTTGGTTCATCCCGCAGCATCAGTTCTGGTTACCAAAAGTATTCCTAGGCATTCACATTCCATGCCCAGCTCCACGCCAGTGAGCCAGGCTTCTTATCCATTTAATGTTTGAGAATAGGTTGAGATCCTTTCAGCCCCAAGACCTCTAATCATTTGCTTTAACAGATAAAACTGTGTGGGTTCAAGTCCAAGAGTGCCAGCTATCCTGCAGGAAACTTCAGAGGGAACCAGCTACTAGATGGTTTGGTTAGTCTTTCCCCCTATACCCAAGTTGGACAACCAATTTGCATGTCAGGACCTCTAGGGACCTCCACCAGAGTGTCCTCTGGCTTCAACCTCCCCTAGCATAGTTCATCATCTTTCAGGTACTAACACGTGCACTCTTGCTCCACCTCCTAGGTGCCACAGGTGAGATGGGCAGTGGTGTGCCCTCCACCAACAGAAAGGCCTCCAGATTCCACCTTGGCTTACAAGCAGTGCCTGCCTTCACCTTCATTTGCCAGGACAACTTTCCTATGAGCCCTTGACTTATGCACGAGCCCCTGATTCTTGAACTCTCTTCAAAGCTCTTTGCAACTTTCCTTTGTGGTACTTGTTGACTCAGTCCCCAGCCTTAGATGCCATTTACCACCCACTTTTGGCTGCATTCCCAAGCAGTGACTCCAAGAAGACCTGGCCAGTGTGTGCCCCAGTGCTCCAGGGCCACTACCAGGCCTCCTTCAGAAGAACTTGGGCCCACCACAAGCAGCAACCAAGAGTGGGTCTTCAATACACATTTCCTGTCCCACCATGTGGGAATTTGGTGCTGAGTTCTTCCCTGTTCACTCCTGGTTGCTGAAGGAATCCTAGTTAGTTTCTTTTCATCCCCTGACTAATACTTTTTTTGAAAATTTATTTATTTTTGAGAGACAGAGACAGAGTATGAGCAGGGGAGGGGCAGAGAGAGAGGGAGACACAGAATTCCAAGCAGGATCCAGGCTCCAAGCTGTCAGCACAGAGCCCCGCAAAGGGCTCGAACTCACAAACCTGGAGATCATGACCTGAGCTGAAGTTAGATGCTTAACTGACTGAGCCACCCAGGCATCCCCCCCCGACCCCTCCACTAATATTCTTAAATTCAGCAGTCCTCACTTTTGATCTGAAGTTGTCTACTGTGGTGGGAGGAGCCCGGTGAGGTGGAGAGAGACACGTGGTCTGGCAGGACCTCCAGCATGGAAAAAGGCCTTGGTGGACACACCTCAGATCTCAGCCCCCACCCAACCACCCCCACCGGAGGGAGGGAAGGGCACTTGGTAGGGAGGAAGGCAGCAGGAGGTCTGGAGCAGGGGCTAGAGGCACAGGTGGGGGTGGGGGGCGGTGGGAATCAGCACGCTGTGGAGGAGGAGGCGGCCACCATTGTCTGCACTTAGGAGGACTGGGGGCCTGACAGCCAAGATGACCCTCCCCGCCTGCGGACGACCCAAGAACGAACCCGCCGCTAGGGCGGGCAGGCAGTGGGCAGGGCGGGACGGGGCTCACACGCGTGGGCAGGCACCTGCAAGATGAGCCCTTTGAGGGAAGCCCCCAGCCAGGAGGGTTGAACCATTTCCATAATAGCAAAAGCTGGAAATATTCAAATATCCATTAAAATTATTGGATAAGTTTGGTTATATTTAAATTACGAACTAATGAATAGTAAAAGTAAATCAATTAATATTAAGAAAGGGTGCTGGATTTTGTCAAAGGCCTTTTCTGCATCAATTGACAGGATCATATGGTTCTTATCTTTTCTTTTATTAATGTGATGTATCGCGTTGATTGATTTGCGAATGTTGAACCAGCCCTGCATCCCAGGAATGAATCCCACTTGATCATGGTGAATAATTCTTTTTATATGTTGTTGAATTCTATTTGCTAGTATCTTATTGAGAATTTTTGCATCCATATTCATCAGGGATATTGGCCTGCAGTTCTCTTTTTTTACTGGGTCTCTGTCTGGTTTAGGAATCAAAGTAATACTGGCTTCATAGAATGAGTCTGGAAGTTTTCCTTCCCTTTCTATTTTTTGGAATAGCTTGAGAAGGATAGGTATTATCTCTGCATTAAATGTCTGGTAGAACTCCCCTGGGAAGCCATCTGGTCCTGGACTCCTATTTGTTGGGAGATTTTTGATAACCGATTCAATTTCTTCGCTGGTTATGGGTCTGTTCAAGCTTTCTATTTCCTCCTGATTGAGTTTTGGAAGAGTGTGGGTGTTTAGGAATTTGTCCATTTCTTCCAGGTTGTCCAATTTGTTGGCATATAATTTTTCATAGTATTTCCTGATAATTGTATGTATCTCTGAGGGATTGGTTGTAATAATTCCATTTTCATTCATGATTTTATCTATTTGGGTCATCTCCCTTTTCTTTTTGAGAAGCCTGACTAGAGGTTTGTCAATTTTGTTTATTTTTTGAAAAAGCCAACTCTTGGTTTCGTTGATCTGCTCTACTGTGTTTTTTAGATTCTATATTGTTTATTTCTGCTCTGATCTTTATTATTTCTCTTCATAAATCAATTAATATATCAACATGGATGAATCTTTGAAACCAGTTTCTAACACAGAATAAAAATTACATCACAAAAGGATAATTATTATACGATGCTACTTACATAAAAGGTCAAAAAAGAAAAAGCCAATATATTATTTAGGAACATGCATACATATAGAAATCTCTAATGAAAGTAAGGGAATATCATCGGATTAAGGTACACAGAAGAATTACAACGTTCTAGTTATGAACTGTGTGATGAGGACATGGGTACTTGTTTTACCATTATTCTTTAAACTACTTATATAATCTAGGAACCTTTCTTTATGTAAATATTTCTCAATAAGGATGGTTCCATATATCAAAATAAATTTCAAATGACATTTAAATATAAAATTTGATGTCAAATACCTCAAAAACAAAATCTAAATATTTTCATATGATCCTGAGATGGAGAAAACGTTTATAAACTGTTATGAACTGAATTGTCCCCTCCCATTTATGTTAAATACCTGGCCCCCAATACCTCAGAATGTGACTCTATTTGCAGATAGGCCTTTAAAGAAGTGAACAAGTTAAAACGAGGCTGTTCAACTGTGTCCTAAATCCAATATGACCTATGTCTTCATAAGCAGAGGAAATTTGGACTCAAAAGAAACACCAGGGATGTGTGTACAGAGGAAAGAACATATGAGGACACAGTGAGAAGGTGGCTACCTGCAGGCCAAGGAGAGAGGCCTCAGGAAAAACCAACCTGACACCCTGATCTTGGACTTCCAGCCTCTAGAACTGTGAGAAAATAAATTTTTCCTAAGCCCTCCATTCTGTGGTATTTTATTATGGCAGCTCTAGTAAAATATATAGATAGGTATTATCCTGAACACTGAAGTACATAGAGAAAGTTTAATGGATTTTACTATGCATGTTTTAAAACACTTTTTTTTTTTTTGGAATATACGAAGTTTATTGTCAAATTGGTTTCCATACAACACCCAGTGCTCATCCCAACAGGTGCCCTCCTCAATACCCACCACCCACCCTCCCCTCCATCCCAGCCCCCATCAACCCTCAGTTTGTTCTCAGTTTTTAAGAGTCTCTTATGCTTTGGCTCTCTTCCACTCTAACCTCTTTTTTTTTTTTCCTTCCCCTCTCCCATGGGTTTCTGTTAAGTTTCTCAGGATCCACATAAGAGTGAAACCATACGGTATCTGTCTTTCTCTGTATGGCTTATTTCACTTAGCATAATACTCTCCAGTTCCATCCATGTTGCTACAAAGGGCCATATTTCATTCTTTCTCATTGCCACGTAGTACTCCATTGTGTATATAAACTACAATTTCTTTATCCATTCATCAGTTGATGGACATTTAGACTCTTTCCATAATTTGGCTATTGTTGAGAGTGCTGCTATAAACATTGGGGTACAAGTGCCCCTATGCATCAGCACTCCTGTATCCCTTGGGTAAATTCCTAGCAGTGCTATTGCTGGGTCATAGGGTAGGTCTATTTTTAATTTTTTGAGGAACCTCCACACTGTTTTCCAGAGTGGCTGCACCAGTTTGCATTCCCACCAACAGTGCAAGAGGGTTCCCGTTTCTCCACATCCTCTCCAGCATCTGTAGTCTCCTGATTTGTTCATTCTGGCCACTCTGACTGCCGTGAGGTGATATCAGAGTGTGGTTTTGATTTGTATTTTCCTGATGAGGAGCGACGTTGAGCATCTTTTCATGTGCCTGTTGGCCATCTGGATGACTTCTTTAGAGAAGTGTCTATTCATGTTTTCTGCCCATTTCTTCACTGGGTTATTTGCTTTTTGGGTGTGGAGTTTGGTGAGCTCTTTATAGATTTTGGATACTAGCCCTTTGTCCGATATGTCATTTGCAAATATCTTTTCCCATTCCGTTGATTGCCTTTTAGTTTTGTTGGTTGTTTCCTTTGCTGTGCAGAAGCTTTTTATCTTCATAAGGTCCCAGTAGTTCATTTTTGCTTTTAATTCCCTTGTCTTTGGGGATGTGTCAAGTAAGAGATTGCTACAGCTGAGGTCAGAGAGGTCTTTTCCTGCTTTCTCCTCTGGGGTTTGGATGGTTTCCTGTCTCACATTCAGGTCCTTTATCCATTTTGAGTTCATTTTTGTGAATGGTGTGAGAAAGTGGTCTAGTTTCAATCTTCTGCATGTTGCTGTCCAGTTCTCCCAGCACCATTTGTTAAAGAGACTGTCTTTTTTCCATTGGATGTTCTTTCCTGCTTTGTCAAAGATGAGTTGGCCATACGTTTGTGGGTCTAGTTCTGGGGTTTCTATTCTATTCCATTGGTCTGTGTGTCCGTTTTTGTGCCAATACCATGCTGTCTTGATGATGACAGCTTTGTAGTAGAGGCTAAAGTCTGGGATTGTGATGCCTCCTGCTTTGGTCTTCTTCTTCAAAATTACTTTGGCTATTCGGGGCCTTTTGTGGTTCCATATGAATTTTAGGATTGCTTGTTCTAGTTTTGAGAAGAATGCTGGTGCAATTTTGATTGGGATCGCATTGAATGTGTAGATAGCTTTGGGTAGTATTGACATTTTTACAATATTTATTCTTCCAATCCATGAGCAGGGAATGTCTTTCCATTTCTTTATCTCTTCTTCAATTACCTTCATAAGCTTTCTATAGTTTTCAGCATACAGATCTTTTACATCTTTGGTTAGATTTATTCCTAGGTATTTTATGCTTCTTGGTGCAATTGTGAATGGGATTAGTTTGTTTATTTGTCTTTCTGTTGCTTCATTGTTAGTGTATAAGAATACAACTGATTTCTGTAAATTTATTTTGTATCCTGCAACTTTACTAAATTCATGTATCAGTTCTAGCAGACTTCTGGTGGAGTCTGTTGGATTTTCCATGTATAATATCATGTCATCTGCAAAAAGTGAAAGCTTGACTTTTTTCTTTGCCAATTTTGATGCCTTTGATTTCCTTTTGTTGTCTGATTGCTGATGCTAGAACTTCCAACTCTATGTTAAACCACAGCGGTGAGAGTGGACATCCCTGTCGTGTTCCTGATCTCAGGGAAAAAGCTCTCAGCTTTTTCCCATTGAGGATGATGTTAGCTGTGGGCTTTTCATAAATGGCTTTTATGATCTTTAAGTATGTTCCTTCTATCCCGACTTTCTCGAGGGTTTTTATTAGGAAAGTTTGCTGGATTTTTTCAAAGGCCTTTTCTGCATCAATTGACAGGATCATATGGTTTTTTATTATTTGGTTTTATATATGGTTTTCTTTTATTAATGTGATGTATCACGTTGATTGATTTGCGAATGTTGAACCAGCCCTGCATCCCAGGAATGAATCCCACTTGATCATAGTGAATAATTCTTCTTATATGCTATTGAATTCGATTTGCTAGTATCTTATTGAGAGTTTTTGCATCCATATTCATCAGGGATATTGGCCTGGAGTTCTCGTTTTTACTGGGTCTCTGTCTGGCTTAGGAATCAAAGTAATACTGGCTTCATAGAATGAGTCTGGAAGTTTTCCTTCCCTTTCTATTTTTTGGAATAGCTTGAGAAGGATAGGTATTATCTCTGCTTTAAACGTCTGGTAGAACTCCCTGGGAGGCCATCTGGTCTTGGACTCTTATTTGTTGGGAGATTTTTGATGACTGATTCAATTTCTTCACTGGTTATGGGTCTGTCCAAGCTTTCTATTTCCTCCTGATTGAGTTTTGGAAGGGTGTGGGTGTTTAGGAATTTGTCCATTTCTTCCAGGTTGTCCAGTTTGTTAGCATGTAATTTTTCATAGTATTCCCTGATAATTGCTTGTATCTCTGAGGGATTGGTTGTAATAATTCCATTTTCATTCATGATTTTATCCATTTGTACACTTTTATGTACAAAAATAAAAGAAGAA